GACTTTACTGAGTCTGAATTTATTGAATCAGACTTTACTGAGTCTGAATTTATTGAATTGGAATTTACTGAGTCTGAGTTTACTGAGTCAGACTTTACTGAGTCTGAATTTATTGAGTCAGACTTTACTGAGTCAGACTTTACTGAGTCTGAATTTATTGAATCTGATTTTACTGAGTCAGACTTTACTGAGTCTGAATTTATTGAATTGGAATTTACTGAGTCAGACTTTACTGAGTCTGAATTTATTGAATTGGACTTTACTGAGTCTGAATTTACTGAGTCTGAATTTATTGAGTCAGACTTTACTGAGTCAGACTTTACTGAGTCTGAATTTATTGAATCTGATTTTACTGAGTCAGACTTTACTGAGTCTGAATTTACTGAGTTGGACTTTACTTAGTCTGAATTTATTGAATCAGACTTTACTGAGTCTGAATATACTGAGTCAGACTTTACTGAGTCTGAATTTATTGAGTCAGACTTTACTGAGTCTGAATTTATTGAATCTGATTTTACTGAGTCTGAATTTACTGAGTTGGACTTTACCAAGTCTGAATTTATTGAATCAGACTTTACTGAGTCTGAATTTATTCAGTCAGACTTTTCTTAGTCTGAATTTACTGAGATGGACTTTGCTTAGTCTAACTTCACTAAGTTTGACTTTACCGAGTTTACAGTCAGACTTTCTTGAGTCTGACTTTAGTGAGTCAGAGTTAACTCAGTCTGATTTTACTGATTCAAACTTTACTGAATCAGGCTTTACTGAGTTTGACCTTACTCATTCTTGACTTTACTGAGTGTCTTTACTAAGTCTGAATTTACTGATTTTGACTTTACTGAGTGTCTTTACTAAGTCTGACTTGACTGAGTCTGTTTTTAATGATTTTGACTTTTCTTGAGTTTGACTGTACTGAGTCTGACTTTACTGAGTCTGTTGTTACTATGTCTGTCTTTAGAGTCTGAATTTACTGATTTTGACTTTACTGAGTCAGACTTTACTGAGTCAAACTTTACTGAAAGGCTTTACTGAGTTTGACTTTACTGAGTCAAACATTTTTAGTCAGACTTCACTGATTTTGAATTTAATGAGTCTGAATTCTGGTTTACTTGTAACTTAGTTACTAGACTTTACTGATGTTGCTGTATACCTGAGGAGTTGAGCTCAGGGAACAGATCACCTTGAGGTTTACCTGTTCACCTGCACTTCTGTTGAAGAACTAATGATGATTCTTTAAAAAAAACATGTTTAATTGAAAATATGAAACATCTGTCAGAGGAACTTCCTTTTAATATGTTATTTCTTAGCTTTACTCAAACTCATATTCATTTTGAAATATTCTTTTTTTTAATTCCAAAACTGATTATTAGAAATAGTAGGGAAATACACAATTTATTCCAACGTGATGCATTCAAACACATCAAACTTTATTCAGTTTGTAAAGAAACAAACAGTGTTAATAAAGAGACAATTAATACAAGGAATTTATCTGATTCTCTTTGTGCTGGACGTGTGTGTATGTGTGTGTGTGTGTGTGTGTGTGTGTGTTGGGTGGGCATAGATTACTCTTTCCTGTCTGCAGCTCTGTGACTTCCTGTCTTAAGACGCCCAGTTTCCATCTGAGCTACAAAGTAAGGCAGAAACCCTCTGACCTCTGCTGACCTTCATCACTCCCATCCTCCTCCTTTTGCACCACCTCCTCATCTCTCGGGATGAATTCACCTCCTTTCTTTTATAGAAAAAAGTACAGCAAGACTTTTTTCTGTGATAGTTTCTTGTCCGTGTCTGTAAAAGTTTAGTTGTTTTTTCATGGATTGGATTTGTTGGTTTGTCAGAGTTTGTTCTTCATGCGTTAACCCTCCTGCTGCCCTCGGGTCAAGTTGATTGATTAACTGATTCAAATTTAAAACAGATTTGTTTATTTGTGTAAATTCTCTTTCTGAAAATCTCAGTTCCTTTAAAGTAGACCTGATGCAACAGACAGGTTCGGACTGTCAGTTTTAACGTGACTGATCCAGTTTTCTGAAGTCCAGATCAAATATCTGAGCTGTTTCACTCCAGGGCAGTACGGTGGAGCAGCGGTTAGGACTGTCACCTCACAGCAAGAAGGTTACAGGTTCGTCTCCCGGCCTTTCTGTGTGGAGTTTACATGTTCTCCACGTGGGTTTTCTCTGATTTCATCTCACAGACCAAAAACTTCAATGTTAGGTTCATCAGTAACTCTAAAGTGTCCCCAGGTGTGAGTGAGAGTGTGAATGGTTGTTTGTCTCATTTGTCTCTGTGTCTGTATGTGATGGACTGGAGACATGTCTAAGTGTCTCTCACCTCTCCCACAGTGACTGCTGAACATAGAGACCAGCTCCCCGTGACCTGGAAAAGACCCAACCCCTCCAGTACCCCTGAAAGAGGTTTTACAGTCTACAGTGCCTTGTGAAAGTATTCGGCCCCCTTGAACTTTTCAAACTTTTACCACATTTCAGGCTTCAAACATAAATATATAAAATTTAAATTTTTTGTGAAGAATCAACAACAAGTGGGACACAATCGTGAAGTGGAATGAAATTTATTGGACGTGTCAAACTTTTTTAACAAATAAAAAACTGAAAAGTGGGGCGTGTAATATTATTGGGCCCCTTTACTTTCAGTGCAGCAAACTCACTCCAGAAGTTCAGTGAGGATCTATGAATGATCCAATGTTGTCCCAAATGACTGATGGTGATAAATAGAATCCACCTGTGTGTAATCAAGTCTCCGTATAAATGCACCTGCTCTGTGATAGTCTCAGGGTTCTGTTCAAAGCGCAGAGAGCATCATGAAGACCAAGGAACACACCAGGCAGGTCCGAGATACTGTTGTGGAGAAGTTTAAAACCGGATTTGGATACAAAAAGATTTCCCAAGCTTTAAACATCCCAAGGAGCACTGTGCAAGCAATCACATTGAAATGGAAGGAGTATCAGACCACTGCAAATCTACCAAGACCCGGCCGTCCCTCTAAACTTTCATCTGGAACAAGGAGAAGACTGATCAGAGATGCAGCCAAGAGGCCCATGATCACTCTGGATGAACTGCAGAGATCTACAGCTGAGGTGGGAGAGTCTGTCCATAGGACAACAATCAGTCATACACTGCACAAATCTGGCCTTTATGGAAGAGTGGCAAGAAGAAAGACATTTCTCAAAGATATCCATAAAAAGTGTTGTTTAAAGTTTGTCACCTGGGAGACACCAAACATGTGGAAGAAGGTGCTCTGGTCACATGAAACCAAAATCCAACTGTTTGGCCACAATGCAAAACGATATGTTTGGTGTAAAAGCAACACAGCTCATCACCCTGAACACACCATCCCCACTGTCAAACATGGTGGTGGCAGCATCATGGTTTGGGCCTGCTTTTCGTCAGCAGGGACAGGGAAGATGGTCAGAATTGATGGGAAGATGGATGGGGCCAAATACAGGACCATTCTGGAAGAAAACCTGTTTGAGTCTGCAAGAGACCTGAGACTGGGACGGAGATTTATCTTCCAACAAGACAATGATCCAAAACATGAAGCCAAATCTACAATGGGATGGTTCACAAATAAACGTATCCAGGTGATGGAATGGCCATGTCAAAGTCC